ATGTGACGGCCCATGTCGGAATTTACAAGCCCCTGGGCAGTTAGGAACCAAAAAAAACCCCAAATGTTTAAAATACCACACTCTTAATACATCACAATGCACAGTACAATTCAAAATTAGTCGGTGTGTAACCTTCAATGCTTGAAACCAAAGCAATCCTCACACAAACGATACAGCTGTAACCCGTGGTATCTCACCAAATGCATTGTGACAGGTTACATAATACTTTCTTGGGTAGACAGAAATTTGTCCTTGTCCTTAATAACACCAAAACATGGAAAGAACCCTATTTTAAACAACACAAGTGTGTACATAAAATACACCAGAGAGGCAGAGACACAAATTGCTTTAGGCACAAGTAAAGAAATTCATTGTCTGGCAATTCAGCAATCAAGTACAGTTCAGTATGTGAAACTATTTGTGACATAAACACACAAAACAATTTAGGAACTAACCTGGTTATACATGTTGTTCAGCGCAACTCTTACTGCTACATCAGCTACGTCAACATATTTGTAGCTGGAAGCTAAATACAAAATAATAAAATGATTCTTAAATGAACGGTTCTGTAACATTAACATTATCTATGAGATAGGATAGCAAGTTCAATTCAGATCATCAGTGTTTATCGTTCCATCATGATTCAATTTACGTTGACTGCCAAACTTATCATTGTAAATCTCTAAGTTTGAATCATTAAAATGTCAAGATGTAGAAACTTCATTCACAGAAATGCAACAAATAATTGATGAACCATGCATTATAAGGATGAACTCCCATCTAAGTCACAAAATTAAAAATCAAAATAACTGAAGATAATAACTCACCCCTATATGGCTACTCAATCGGGCATCGGTTTGGTTTCAGAGGCCTGCTATTCAAACTACATCTTTTTGACCCCGATGCGGGCTATTAAATACCCGCTTTGGTTGGGTGATGGACTCTTCTATCCATTTGCCACTGGTCAAATATTAATTTAACCACTCCTTATTCATGGTATAATTTGAATATATACTTTTTGATTGCCTGGGTTGGTGATGGTGGGCTTTTGAGCGCTGCTGACAGCGGTTGGCTGGAAGAGAACTTCAGTTTTAGCTAAATGGCTTTGAAGCTTCTGGGAACTTGTTAATCATGAACTGCAGGTCAGCGCTTCCTGAATGAGAACAGTCGACTACTTCGTCTTGGCTGGTCGACGCAGGTCGAAGACGGAACTACATGTCGAAGCGGTAGCGGATGTTTACCCCCGAGTCTAGATCCTGCATGGCATACTTAATGATACAGGTAAAGTACAAGTTGAAGAGGACCGGTGCCAGGACTCAGCCTTGCTTCCAACCCGTTTGAGATCTCAAATGGGTCGGATTGGTCACCATTTGAGAGAATTATTGTCCAGTCATGCCATCATTGAAAGGGCCTGTTCGCGCAGTCTAAGTTCTGCGCGATACCTATATAGCTGTCGCACTGAGAATATCATATCGACCGTACTGCGCCATTGGCGAAATCTACACTGGGCTTCAGGTAAATTGGCTTCCGACACAATAATGAGCCTGTTCAGATTGATCCGGACAAAAAACTTCCCAGTGATGGAGGGCCATTTACGGTGTTCAGGGCACGGAAGGACTGTTTGTACTTGTTGGAGTCCGCGTGCTTTTGTACTTCTTCAGCCTGCCTGTCCCACCACTGATCTTCAGTCTCTTCTGAGCTTGTTCTACAATGCCTGAATTTGTCTGCCTTGGAGGTGGAGCTAGAGTCATTTTGCCACCTGGGGTGTACATGCCTTGATGTTTACGTCAACTGCTTCCTGAAATTTCCCTGTTGAAATGGTAGGGGTGTCTCAATCTGGCCTTCTTGAAGGATGCACTGATGGCTTTTGGACATTTGCACTGAGTAGGAGCAATGTGTAGCGAAAGGATTGATCTCACCAGTCTGTGGTCCATCCAGTAATCTGCACCACGCATTGTACGAGTGACTCGGAGTATAATACATCTTGGATATCTCTCTGCCTGACAATAATATAATCTATCAGGTGCTGCTGTTTGGATCTTGGTTGCATTCAGCCTGTTTTGTACTTGTCAGCTTGATGGAAGACAGTGTTGGTATAATGCTCAGCATGTGCTCAGCACAATTTGCCAGGAGGAGCAGACCATTGTTACATTTCCTCATAAAACTGCTCCTTCGCATCATCCGAGCTATGAGGGTGGGGCATATATGGCGCTGACAATGATTACGTGGCTTGTCCTGCATGTTCAACTGGAAGCGAAGTTTTTACGTGGCGCTCGTTGACTCCAACTGGGAAGGAAGGAATGTCCTCCATCAGACTTGTCTTATATAATTATCAAACCCCACTCCATGGATTCATGCTTCATCAGTAGGTTTCCTCGTCACCAGAAAAAAAAGGTGTAGCCAGCTCCAGTTTAATTCAGCATACCCTCATCAGGAAGCCTTGTTTCACTGAGTCCTGCAATATCGATACGAATCATACGATATAGGGCATCCATTGAACCGATGGTTGTTCCTCTTTCAGGTCTTCAAGTGGAATCCCTGTCTTACAACGTTCGGACGTCCAAGCTCCCAGGATGAGCTGTTTTGGTGTTCGAGTTTTCTTTGATATTCGACCGCATTTTGGATGATCTGCCAGCCGCGGTAAGCTGGGCAGATGAGTTGGGGCAGGCCCCCCCCCCCCCCCTCTTGATGGGGTGGGCGGTGTTGTCCCCAAAAAAGCTGTCCAGTTGCCCTGGGGCTGCCGTTTCCGCTGCCCCGAATACAAAGACGAACAATTACCCCTGATCCAATGTCCGCCTACGTGCAGTATTGTGACTTCTGCACAGTGCATTGCTGATCCGCCTTCCTGACAGTTGAAGCTTCCTGTCATTATCCTCCGATCAGTCAGCCGGATCGGTCTTCACATAATGTACATGTTATATTTGGAGGTGATCTAAATAAAGATCTTAGCCGGTCATCTCCAAATGCCGTTGTTTTAAATTTAATGATTATGGTTATTTGTACCGATCTTGAATTAGCACAAGTGCCGTATACATTTACTGATCCATATATCTAAAGTATATCAAGAATTGTTTAGTCTCTTCTACAATTGGAAAGAGCATTGTTTCATTTAATATTATAGATACATGTTATCACTTTTTCCCCGATCATGTTCCAGTTAAAATTGTTTTCTGGAGGAAAGCAAGTAAACCACAATTTTCAAAATATAAACATAATTTACAAACAAATCTGGAAAATATTTCTTTTAACAACATGGTTTTTTTAAATCTCACAAAATTATGAATTGTAAAGAGCATGTGAACGATTTCACCGATTTGTACAATGATGTTATGACCACATGTATTAATGTTTCTGAATGTATTCAGAAATCTAACCCTTCTGGTAAAGATACTTTACAGTCGGATAGTAGGAGCGATGAAAATAAGGTTTAGCATTTACGTTAGGAAACTTTGATGTGGCGTCAACATTGGAAGGCATGTGTCCAACTGCATCATGGTATTGATGCAGATATGCACCGTATACCTGGAACCAGTTATAATAGGTCTTCAGGGATAATGATCAGAATTAAATGGAGAAAATGGCTGAAGTGATTGCTGGGAATAATACTAGAGATCTCTGGAGAGAACTTATTAGGATTAAAGGGCGAAATAATACCCCGAATTGTGTTGATGGCTAGATATAGTTCGTTTGAAGCAACAAAAGTGTTCAAACTCTAATGAAGGATACCGAACAACTAACCTGATGAAGTTTCAGCTAAGCTTCAGCTGTATATTCCGAGAAAAAATGCATTCTAGGATCTCAATTTCAAATCAAAAGTTACTGAATCATGTTATGAATTGTTTTGAATTGCAGCTATACGCGACGTCGCGCACTGATCCGACGAATTATAGCAACAGCGCGCGCGCCTGCGTCGTGCCAATGCTTGCGCGCGCTTCGCCGAATAACAAAACGAACTACTAATTTAAGGTGCGTCTTAAGACGCACCTTTGGAAGGGCCTTCTTTCGTTGATTACTTCAAAATGACAGCTTCCCAGAAAGAATAATTTCACAGGGAGTTTAGTTCCTTACTATCTTTCAACCAAGTTTGTTTTTCGACAATAATTACGCCAGTTACTTTTCGGATGGCTGCCAATGATGGACTATAGCTTTAAAGATATAGTCCATCATTTGTAATTTGTGCATTTTGTTCGTTTGAAGTAACAAAGTGATCAAAATCTAATGAAGGATACTGAACAACTAACCTGATGAAGTTTCGGCTCAGCTTCAGCTGTATATTCCGAGAAAAACAGCATTCTAGGATCTCAATTTTAAATCAAAAGTTGCTGAATCATATTTTGAATTGTTTTGAATTGCAGCTATACGCGATGTCGCGCACTGATCCGACGAATTATAGCAACCGCGCGCGCCTGCGCGTCGTGCCAATGATTGCGCGCGCTGCGCCGAATAACAAAACGAACTACTAGTTTAAATTTTCCTACGGTGCGTCTTAAGACGCACCGTTGGAAAGGCCTTCTTTCGTTGATTACTTCAAAATGATAGCTTGCCAGAAAGATTAATTTCACAGGGAGTTTAGTCCCCTTACTATCTTTCAACCAAGTATGTTTTTCAACAATAATACGCCAGTTACTTTTTCGGATGGCTGCAAATGATGGAATATAGCTTTAATAGGGATTCCGATATTGCAGCGGTTTTCATAGAAAATATGAAAATGTATATAACTGTGTTCCATCTGAAGAATATGTCAGTCTCATATACTTACTTTGTTTGCTTTAGGATACCTTTAACGGTATATTGTTTTATTAACCTGTTTAATTGCTTAGTTATTCAATAACACCCAAAACACTTGAATAACTTGAATATTTAGTATGATTTTCAACAAATACTTTATCGTATTTTTTTGGACAAATGTGGCAATAAACAGTTTGAGATCGGAAATTTGGCCTAAAAATCCAGGTATAGGTCGGTTACCGTAAACACACAATTTTGTTTTAGTCCTCAATTTACTCCCACTCTTCGTCATCATCATCAAAGTCGTCATCATCAGAATCGTCATCACTGTCTTCTGCATGGGAGATGGGAGGTGAAGAAAAGAAGAAGAAAATGCATTAGTTTCAGGAGAGGCACAATAAGTGAACCCCTACAAGCAGAGAAACAGACAGATCCGTTAAGGCCCCCCCCCCCAAAGTCTCCGGTTTCTGGTATGCGCGCGCGTCGCCGTATAGCCATGGGCGTCGGCACAATTAAAACGTTTTTTTCCCCAATGTATATAAGATGATGTCTCAAAAGCGCCAAACTCACTGGTTTGACTGGAATCCTGCTGCTGCACAATTTTAACGTGTTTTTTTGATGGGGTTACGATCGAGAATAAGCTTTATGTAGCCACTCTGGGCTCCCATACATTTTGCACTAAATTTAGTCGGCCTTCATTTGCAGTCATCAGCCGACATTTGATGAGGAAAAAAAGTCAAAAAAAAAAAAAAGCCGCGTCGCCGCACCACTTTGGGGGCAAGCTCCATACCAGAAACCGGAGACTTTTTTTTGGGGGGGGGGGGGTTAAGCGCCAGTGTTTTGACCAATCACAGCCATGATTAATGTCGGAACATGTGTGCAGAAAGGTACGACGACATGTCTGTTGTACAGCACAAACCTCCAAGTAGCTTTGACCCCGATGCCAAATTAGTTGCGGTGCACAATATTTTGAGAAATGAAAATATTAAGTATATAAAAAGATTCTATTGAAAACGTTAACAAAGAAATTCAAAGTTTTTATTGAAGTTATTGCAGTTTTGCAAAGTGTTTGTGTTTTTTTATACAAAGAAAGACAAAATATCCAAAGATGTTGATTTCCATTGTGAGAGAAACAGACTACCTCACAGGAGTGTGAGGCTAATATATGACTTGTATATAGGTTTGTATATTGGACGTGAGGTGTAGTAAACCTCACACAGTTAAGTGCCTTTTAAGTAAGCCTTCACACTCGTTACAAGTGTTATAATTGTATAAACGAAGTGGACCTCACAGGTGTGAGAGCGATCAGATCCTGTACATAATTTTATAAACGTTGCTTCTAGGTAATACGTGTGGTTTGGTGAGCCTCACACGTGTAGGTAAACAGGTTTAGAGTCAGACGCGGAGGGGGGGGGGTAAAAAAAAACCTCAGATCTGTCAAATTGTTTCATTTTTTAATAGAAATTCATTTTAAAATAATGCGAACCCCCCCCCCCCCCTCCCGCTCTGACACCCAAACAAAAATATACTGGTAATAATGTCTGCCTGTGCACAAAATACGGACAGAGCCAGCTTTGTAAGTGGGTATTTGTACAGTATTCTGTAATGTAGTGTTAATAATCGTCGGACTTGAATAGCGACCCAATTGAAAGTATGGTACGAGCCCCCCCCCCCCCCACCCCACCTATTGATTTTCGGAGGCCAAGTGTCCAGAGAAAAACCCTGTCTACATTTTAAAAAATTTTGCTGATGAAACCCCCCTCCCCTGCAAAAATATCCTGGATCCGTCCCTAAGAGTAACCTACGTAATGACATGCCATGACGCACAAGGCATTAGGGAGGGAACAGTGACATGGTTATCACATTTTCCAGAACTCCGACGGTAAATTTGCGACAGTACTTTTTCCTTCTGTCATTTAGTGAATCAACATTACAGATGTCATGTGCATTGTTGTAAGACGTGTACTTATTTCCCAATATTACTATAGACACGCCTTTTTGTTTTTGTAAAGCTATAAACTTATACAGTCCACAGCATTCCATAAACGTACCTTGCGATACGTCAGACAATCAGACGATTTCCGTGGACAACGGGAGTTGCGGTTTGAACCGTCCGGAAAATTGCCTGTGATGATGAACTGACGACGAGTTTAAGATCCAATCATTGCCAAGCTCGGCACGAGGGAGGGGGGGGGGATACAATAATTAATGTCGTTTCACATTCGATGTATATAAAAGGTCGCTTCATGTTTAAAGTATACCAAAAAATGACAAGTATATATCCTCCTGGCCTGATGTGGGTCTTCTCCATATCCCTTCTAAAAAATATCCTCCCATAGCCATGGTATTTTTTCCCCTCAATTACCGTATTCCTCTAAAGAGTATCCTCTCAACGATGATGGTTAGTCTTCCCCGCATTAAATTGATTGCGGAAACATGAAAGCTTTGTATTCCTATTATATCGACTTGACACCATCCCAAAATCGCGACAGCCATCGCGACAGCCTCAAGCTCATCTTTACCTTAACTTAACTAAAGATCCTTAATTCTCCTTTTCGTTTAATTCGTATAAGGCTGTTTGATAATTCAAGTATCCATGAGTTCGATGATTAAGCGATAAATAGTAAAAAATTATACAAATACCAAATCGGTGCGAAGAAAAACATTCTCATTCATTGTTGTTGATTCTTTTGTTGTTACCTCCGTGTCTTTAAACTTTTGTATCCCCCTTGTGCTGAGCTTCGCAATGGTTGGTCGTCAACTCATCAACGGGCACTAATTTCCGAACGGCTTAAATTAAACCCCCTTTAATTGTCCACGGAAATCGTCTGATCGTCTGACGTATCGCAATGTACGTTTAGGAATGCTGTAGACTCTAGGATTAGAGCTTTAAGAACATTACCCATATAAACATATTTTTTCAAGGTTTTTAACATGGAACAATTTCTCAATGATTGCAGGATTGAGGATTCTGAACAAAGTCCCCGTAATTTTTCGCAATGGGACAAAAAGCAGAGCTGCTTCCATGTAGACAAAGTAGAGAGGTTCAAAAGTATACCCTCTCTAAAAGCAGAAAAGAAAAAAATTGACCTGTACGACATGTTCAGTCGGCTTTTCTGGTAGCAGAAAAAGCAGAAAGGTAGAAAATCCATTTAGCAAAACGTTCAATCTGTATTTCTGGTTGCAGAAAAGCAGTTGTCCATTTTTGAACCTCTGTAGGCTAGACAAAGATAATGATTCTGCACCAAATTTGTCCCTGATATGAACCGAGAAGGGCCCACCGTGAAAACATGCATTACCAGAGTGGATGACACAGTTTCTGATCCGTAGAGCATTGAGCAGTGAAGCCCCTAGGTCATCCTGAGAAACGCTGGGGGCCACTTCTGCCTCCCGGTCGGACATATCCACCTACAACAAGCACAAGCATGTCGATGATTGATAATGTTACCATCACGAGAGTGCTAATATCGGCCTACCACTTTAATATATACTACATGACATAGCATTGTATATAAAAGCTGCTTATTGTGCCAACTGCCGATTAAAGCATATTGTACAGTCCTAAATATGCAGCTAATAAACACTGGAGAACCAAATGTCTACTAATATTGAAAGACAGCTTAACAAACGAGCGTTATAGAAGCTCTTTCAGCAACAGTGAGTATAAGCCTTATGATTGACGATGTATGTGAGCAATATAATTGTTTAGTCATTTAACCAACCATGATAACACAGATTCTGAATTTCATGTTACACCTGAAGGCATGTTATTGTTCCTCTGTGATGGACATAATTATTATACACTTTTGTTATTGTTTTTTGTCATTGTCTTGGAACAACAACCGACTTTAGGCCAAAAGAAAAAGTCTCCAGTTTCTGGTATGCGCGCGCGTCGCCGTAGCCATGCACGTCGTCAATTTTTTTTTTTTTTCAATGTAAGGTGATGTCTCAAACCACCAAACTCACTGGTTTGACTGGAATCCTGCTGCTGCACAATCGTGTTTTAGATGGAGTTTCGATCGAGTATAAGCTTTATGTGGCCTCTCTGGACTCCCATGCATTTTGCACTAAATTTAGTCTGGCACCATTAATTGCAGTCATCGGCCGACATTTGAATAAAAAAAGTAAAGAAAAAAAAAGCCGCGTCTCCGCACCACTTTTGGGGCAACATCCATACCAGAAACCAGAGACTTTTTGGGCCTTATTGATATCTACTGAAAAAAACTGGAATTTCTTACCTTTTTGAGGACTTTTCCTCCCCTTATCTGATCCAGAAGCGCTCCACGTCCACTGCTGGCTGGGGCTGGTCGGTCATCTGGATCCACACGCTTAAAGGCAACACCCTTGTGGATGTCATCTATGAGTCCCATACGGCCTCTTCCCCCTTCCACTCTGATGGGGGGAGGGGGCGGAGCGGCTCCAACAGCTGGCAGTGGCGGTGGTGGAGAGGTTAGAGGTCCACCCCCTTGAGATGGGGTCGGGAGTGGAGGAGCCGGGGCTGCCATTGGCCGGGAGTGCATGCTGGGTGGGGCCATGGAAGGGGGCGTCGGGGGCAGAGCGCGCGAGGGTGGGTTCGGTGCCCCACGGCGGGATGAGGGTGGGAGTTTGGGTGCTGGACCATGGCTTGGGGGAGGTGGTAGGAGAGCAACACGGTTGCCTGGTGGGGGAGGCGGAGCAGCAGTGCCAGGAGACGGGGGGGGGGTGGAGGGGCAGGCATTCTTGACCTCTCTTGAGGAATAGGAAAAACAAAAGAAAGCATTTACCACAGATTTGAGGTCTACAAGAAAAGTTACACATGTAAGGTTCCTATTTGTTATAAGCAACTTAAAGCAAGGCCTGAAAACACGTTACTTTACAGGAGCACAGGTCTGCATTTATAAAAAGGGGGCAGCACCATTCCAAACCCTTTGAATCATCTCACAGAATTAGCAAACATTTTCAGAGCATCCAGTGCAGTACACACTGATTTGAGAAAACCAAAAACCTGCCTCACACTCCATCACTGCATTTAATAGTGAAGTGGGGTTAACTGCCATCTTAGCTAAATATAATAATTGTTTAGATTATTTTCAAGGGAAAGTAGTTTCCCTTGGTTCAGCCTTAAAGTCAATTTTGTGCTACACCATAAGCTGTCTGAAGTTGTTTGAAAACTCACTTTATGCATTTACTTACGAGACATTCTATCTTTAATAGCATTTATTCCTCCATGTTCATCTACAAACTTATTGATGAATTCCACGTTTTTCTCGTCCTGGATTTGGCTTTCATCTAGACCGAGGTTTTCCAACCAGTTCTGGAGGTCTGGGTCTATCACTTTATACTGGGGGTCAAAAATTCAAAGCAACATTCACTAACGTTTGTTCTAGACCCATTAACCTTTTTGAAGTATGGCAGGTGTCACCCCCTTCTAAATATCTTTTTCGGAGCTAGGCCTATATGAATCTTTCTCCAAGTTCGGTGCTTTGGACCAGTCGTTCACGATCTTGTCAAAAATGTGATCTAGCCACTTGACTGACGCACTTATCCAATTTTGTTGTTCCTTTTGTTATATTTTCAATGTAATTGGGTTGAAATTGGGTATTCATATGGCTATATGGCGAAACACTGTGGACACATCACTATTTGAAGCGACCCTGTGTGATGTCACACTTCTTTGCATAAAAACAAAGCCAAGCCGAGTACGGTGCACTCTCTAGACTGGGTGAGCCAACGGCCTGTGCAGCTCATTTTAAGGTTCACAATGAAGTGACGTACACAAGGTGACATTCAAAATGAAATTGGGCAGAAACTGTTCGATTTTACCTTTTCAGGAATGCATCAGTGTGTCAGTGTGTTGGTTTCTTTGTCTGTTTGTCTGTTGCCATCGGCTCAGTGACGGGAAAGACAGTGACAGGAATGCCAAAAACAAACGTGAC